TTTTAATGCAATATCGCAAAATCTGCATAAAAATATGTGGATGGAAGCCCAATAATAACTGATGTTTCAGCCTGAGACAAAACTACTGATTTTAGAAGAACTACTTTTCTAGTGTTTCCGGAGTCTTTCTGAAGCTTAAACTCATTCATCATAAATGCAAGGCAAAAAAGCGATAACCACATTCTCCTTTTAAGTTCCACTGAAGAAAGTAAGTCATATGGGTTTGGGACAACATGACAATGAATGAATGATGACATTTGACTTTCCATCAGAGCAAGTTTAGATAACAGAAAACTGGACTTTATCGAAGAGAACAACATTATCAGTCTCCGTCAATCTGACCAAGAGTCCAGATATGAAAGTAAAAGCGATGCTGATTTGCCAAAAAGAAGATGGATTGAAGGCTGCAGAGATGGAAATCCAAACAGACAGATCGAAACAAGGAGATAAGGAGGAATGAAAGCTCAAGAATGATGAGAAGACACCAATCAGAGGACAGGAAATGACAGATATAGAGACAGACAGAATGACAGAGGGTAAGAGAGCTTGAGCCCATCATCTCAGTCTGTGTAGGGCTGATTGATGGCTAACAGAGGGAAGGTGACATGCGTTTCATGTAGGTTATTTATGTCATCCATGGAGACAACACTGCTTGCACTTTTTCACCCTGTCACTGCACCCCAGCGCTGACACACGCGTGACATCCGTGACCTGTAATCTGTTAGAAGTCTCAAAGATCTGAGATTGCGCTCACACACACACAAACACAAACAAACAGAGATCCTCCCCCCACAGAAACACACACAATCCCAGACACACCCACACATGCGTTCAGAGACATAACTCAGAGGGTTAGTTTTCAGATGTTAGCTCTGAGGATCTGTTGAGCACAGCCTCTGAGAAAACCCGTCACGGACTAACCATAAAAAAACGCCTCGCTTACGTCTCCCTTTCTAAGCCATCGCCATGGCAACAGCGCAGGTGATGGCTCTTGTGACAGTGACTGACAGCTCGTAGAGGCCACTTTGTTTGAAGCGCATGAACCAATCAGACAAGTGATACGCCGGCTCGTCAGCATTCACTGTATACTTCGGCTCATTATGTCAGCTATCAATCATAAGACAACATTTCGGTTGCAGAGGCCTGGAAAGACATCCATCAATGCAACAAAACAAAGGAGATGAGCGAACGCCAATGATCACAAAAGAATGCTAAGGCTGGGCTCCTAATCATTTTCCCCAAATTTGCAGCGATACGAGGACTGACTGTATCGATGCTCATTACCATGTCCCGTGGATGTAAGAACGGCAAAGAAAGCTCGGGCCAATGCGTAATAAACATCACTCAATCCATCTTACTCTTTGTCCATGGTCAGTTGGTGCCAGTAAACAGATCGGGTAATGATGTACTGTGCAAACGCTATGGCGTGAGTGACAAGGCTCATTTTCAGGCGAACTGAAGGAGCCCGGTGCCTTGAAGCAGAGGGCTTGGGCAAATTAGTCTGCTCAAATGGAACAAACAGCAGAGACAGACATTGCAATTTACTCAATTACATGCCCGACACATATAGGCTATCCCGTTCACAGAAATGATGTAGGATAGAGAGATTGAGTCTTTTCTGTTTGAGGAAAGAAGGGATTTTCAGAGAGGCTAAAAGTTTCAGAGAGGATCTGAGGTGAAGGCAAGGGGAATATATACGCAGGGACAGGTCAGTGTCTGTGGGGAAGTCAGAACACAACGCTTCTACTGGCTTTAGCCATGTCAGACCTCAATCTTAATATTTTTACTAAGAATGGGATGAGCGAGACAAGTTACACTACTGTTCAAAAGTTTGAGGTTGATATAATGTTTTAAATTCTCTTATGCTCACCAAGGCTATGTTTATTTGATCAAAATACAGTAAAAACAGTAATATTCTCAAATACTATTACAATTTAAAATAACTGTTGTCTTTATTATTTTCAAATGTAATTCACTACTGAGATTAAAACTAATTTTTCAGCAGCCATTACTCTAGTCTTCAGACTCATTATGATCCTTCAGAAATAATTATTATATGCTGATTTGCTTCTCAAGAAACATTTCTTACTCTTATCAGTGTTGAAAACAGCTGTGCTGCTTAATATTTTTGTAGAAACCATGATATACATGTTTAGGATTTTTTTCTTTTTTATGAAATATAGCAAGCATTTATTTGAAATAGAAATATTATTTAATGTTATAAATGTGTTTTATTGTCACTTCTGATCAATTTAATGCATCCTTGCTGAATAAAAGCATTTTCATTTTTCTCAACAAAAAAAAACAAAAAAAACCTGACCCCAAACATTTAGGTAATGTTTGCTCAGGTAATTAATTAATTAACTAATTTAAACAAACAAACAACACATGAAATCTGATTTTCAGAAGCCTCGTCTAATTATATCAGATTGTTCACACTTTATTTTAAGGTCCAATTCTCGGCATTAACAAACCATTAACTACAACTTTTGCCTCAAACTCCCAATTTGATGATTATTAATAGTTAGTAAGATAGTTGTTAAGTTCGGGTATTGGGTAGGATTCGGGATGTAGAATATGGTCATGCAGAACATGTGCTTTATAAGTACTAATAAACAGCCAATATGTTAATAATATGCATTCTAATAAGCGACTAGTTAATAGTGAGAATTAGTCCCTATACTAAAGTTTTACCGATTGTTCTTACTTCCATCATGAAAACTATCAATAGTGATTTTTTTTTTATTTGATTTTGCATGTTTTCCATCCACAATTTTTATTTTCATCTACTAAACACACAGTAGATGCCAATTTAGTTAGTTAAACAAAAGTAATGAATATGACCAAATGTTGTCAACATTAAAAGGATATTTTCATATAAAGACAAAAACTAATTATTGACAGTCTCATGCACGATAAATATATGGAAGTTTGAGTTGTTGTTATTATGACAACTAATGTAGACATGTTAAGAAATAAACAACTGCAGTCTGAATGAGGAACAAAAAATGATCTGTCAACTAGCATTTTGAATAATCATTCAGAAAATCTGATAATTTTTCTCCAGTGTGAACAATGTCTCACAGCTCTGGCATAGCTGTAAAGTAGCTAATTCAGATAACGATTCAGCGTCATGAAGAGCAGATCTAATTACGTTACAGCTATTAGCCATCCACATTTAAGTATTTCCTGAATCGGTTATACAGAAATGCCTGGGCTAAATATTATTCCTGCTTGGACAGCAGATAAGCTGCTGTAATAATCAGATAACCTGCTGATGTTTGTACCTGTGCAGACAATAATTAGAGGGCATTTCATTATAATGCTCAAGTGTGTTTTCCAGTCCTATTTGAACCTTCCCAAGTGCAGAAGTTCTCAACTATTATTTGCACACTTGCCTAATAAAAAATGAAATAACCCAAGATGGCAAAAAGAGATGATATAACAGTCTTCCACCTACAACGCTGAGAGGAAATCAGCTTTTGTGCAGCATTTTTAGGAATGCAGCACGTATCATATGAGGCTACATTTCTCAAAATGACAACTGAAGACACATTGTAGCTGTTTTCAAAAGCAGTTTAGTAGCAAAGAGCGCTTCTTTGCTCAACATGAAGCAGCATTCGAAACCCATTTTACTTTCATAATGTGATGCATTTCTGAGTGAAACAGGATATTCTGTGAGGGAAAGTGGTTTGAGGGGAAGGGTTGAAAAATAAAAGGAGCGGGTGATGTCAGCCAAAAAGAATAGTCACTGCAGAGGCGGTACAAGTTATTACATTTTGTTTAAAGAGTTTTTCTTTGAAATAATATGCATGAATGGATGCAGCATGTGCAATAACACCATGTGTATTAGGAAAGTAAATAGGGTCATTTTTGATTTCATATCGACTTTAATGTTTAAAGTAGACTTCCAAGCCATTCACATCTCAAACTCATGCTCTCGGGTATAACCATGCAGACACAGATGCACACACCAGAATACAAATGCATACAGTAATTAAAAAAGGCCTTTTAGGGGACTGAAAACAAACAAATTGCCTGGCTCTCCCATTCTTTTTGGACCCTCTGACCGAGGTCTGTCTACCCATTCCGTTCTCGGTTTCTCCAGCTTCAGCTGAATGCACGGGTGATTGAATCTGCCTCTCTGATTCAGTGAGCTCTCTGCCAGAAAATCAGTCAATTAAAATGGCCAAGGGCCATAGCTCCGCCAACAAGACGGAAAAAGCAACAATAACAGTCAGCAGTCAGCACAACAGAAATATCAGCGAAATGAGAGGCAAATTAATACAGCAACTGAGGAAAGACCTCATCGACAAGGTCTACACAAGGGGAGATGAAGATAAGGAAAGGGTAGACCATATAATCTGGAGATAACAGTGTAACGGCAACATCAGGCCAGCTGTTCATTCTCAGAGCAATCATACAATGACTGTGTACAGTACAATCATGATGGTACATAATTATTCAAAAAATAATGATGAAAAACTAACAGAAAATGCACTTGATTACTGTTGTTTTTAAGGTTACAAGCAGCAACATAAGTAATGCATTTCATGTAATGTAAATGTAAACACATTTCAATGTAGCATTTTTAAACAACATGTCCCCCTGGAGTCAATAATTTTATACTTCTTTATCTTTTGTCTTTAATAATCATCTTTTAATCCATCATCTCTGAATCAAAATGACAAACCTAAACATTCATTCCTGTGAAAATAATTTCATCATACGCAGAGAGAATATGCAAATTAGTCCCCGCCTCCAGACTGATATTGTACATGCTATACCATGGCAAGTGGCAATACTGGATTAAAGAGATAGTTCGACCAAACATGAAAATTATGTCATTAATTACTCTCCCTAATGTCGTTCCAAACCCGCAAGACCTTCGTTAATCTTCGGAACACAAATTCAAATATTTTTGATGGAATCCGAGAGCTTTCTGACCCTGCATAGACAGCAATGCAACTACCACATTCAAAGTCCAGAAAGGTAGTAATGGCATTGTTAAAATAGCCCATGTGACATCAGTGGTTCAACCGTAATACTACAAGAATACACTACTTTTTTGTGCACAAAGAAAACAAAAATAATGAATTTATTCAACATTTTCTCTTCCTTGTTAGTCTTTGATGCGAATTCACAAGTGTACCACAACACACACAATGTCATTTCTTTAAGACACACAATGCCACTTCTGAGTCCACTCATCAGCTCAATCAAGTGGTTATCTACGAGTCCTGTAGACTGAGGATTAATTTAAAGGATTATTTTTGGGTGAACTATCCCTTTAATTCAGCCATAGGCCTATATGTTTGAACCAGAAACTGATTCCAAAGAAGAAGAGGAAGGAGGGAATTATAAACAATAGTCTTAGAGTCGATGTATCAGAATGGTAATGCATTTTATGTATTGCACACGTAGTAGTAATTGATATCATTAGTCTTTGCCTTGACTATGTTCTCAAACAGTTAATAATGTATTGCTAATGTTACACAAACTATGTTCCCGGTCATCATCTTAGACAGCTACCTTTTAAAAATCAACATCTTTAGGTAGAAACAATTTGCTAATGATATGAAAAGCCTCACCCTCCAAGTTGTCAGGATTTGTTACATTTCTATGATGGTAGGAATCAGGGGCTGTTTCAAACAGCATTTCTAGGACTGTCTTTGGCACGCTGCAATTTTAAGGAGAAAATGCTCATGAATTTGCACATGCTTTTATCTTCGCACATTAAAAACACCAGGCATGTAATCAATGTTAAAAACTTTTCACCACAGGTGGTCTTTAAGAGTGAAAATCAAAAAATAAGCATCCAACTCAACCGTTCTAGTTCAGTTGGATGCTTATTTTTGTTCTACAACTAAAAATAAATAATTGATTGTAATCCTTTATGTGTTTCAACTGTTGAGGTCTGTGTGTGCTATTGTTAAAGCATGTTTCTTTATTTGCTTTAAATAGTAAGTACTGTGCTATCAATTTAGATTTATTATAGGAAACAAGATGCAGCATCGGAATGTACAAAACAAAATTGATATAGAGCAAAGTCTTCTTACACTTATTTATTCTAAATGGATAATTATTTAATGTAAACGTTATCACTGTGTTTAAGCACATAAAACCAGTTAAAGCCATGTAAGCAGTTAATTTCTGAAGTTCTATGACCACCTTATATATGTAACTGCATATGCAGTGAAGGTCACTAGAAACATCACTAGCACAGACTGCAAGTTCAGAGCATAGGCTCAGCTGTGGGCTGTCTTCAACGTCTCCCACAGACACATTGTTCAAATCAACTGTAGCGTCTGCGTAGGATCATGCATGAGCGTTGGACTGTTTATGGCTTAAAAGACCCCTTTTAGCCTTTTGACATTTGCATATAAATTACAGTTCTGGTCAGAAACTTTACGTTCGTATAGGGGTGTAAATTGCCAAATGGTTCTTCGCCTTCAAGTAAACGTCATGGTGAAGAGGTTTCCTATATCGTTCCATAATGCCTATAGCCACATTATTCCCTTGAGTGTTTTGAAAGGGTGGCAATGCCACATATCAAAGTCATCCTACCAGCCACACTGAATTATAATGCCAACAAGCACCACTTGAAAGAGGAAGTTATTGTGTTTACTATCCACAACAACAGCTCAAGAATCTACTGAACAACATTCAATTCAACATTCACCTATTCAACAATCATTCAAGTATACCATATCATTCAACAATCTTTCGTCAAAATATCTACACATGATCAGTATCACATTATCCTTCACAAATCATTCCAATATGATGATTTCCTATTATTATCAATGTTGAAAACAGCTGAGCTGCTTAATATTTATGTGGAAACCGTGACACTATTTTCACAATTATTTGATGAATAGAAAGTTAGGGACCAATTCTCACTATAAATTAACTATGGATTTTGCCTCAATAAACTCCCAATTTGGTCATTTAAAATAAGGGAGTTTTAGGGTTTAAGGGTCATTTAAAAAGCTTTATAAGTACTAATAAACAGCCAATATACTAGTGATATGCATGCTAATAAGCAACTAGTTAATAGTGAGAGTTGGCCCTAAACTAATGTGTTACCAGACTTTTACATCATTAGAAAGATTTCTGTCACTTTTGATGAATTTAATGTACTTTTGCTGAATAAAAAAAAATAATAATAATAACATTATAAAATAAATAAAAAAAACTTTTGAACAATAGTGTATAAGCATTACATTTAAGTATTATATTTTAAGTGCACAAAATTGGGAAAAGCAAATTAATTTTGAACAGTCGTGCTTGTTGCCTGTAAGGATTTCTCCTCATCTCATCACACATCAGAGCGGGTCATCAAGTGTAAACACAAACAATATAAGCCAATCAAATATTGTATGCAAATTTCATATATATATATATATATA